TTGAGCCATATCGCCCACCCCTAGAGGTACCTCTGTGTTGCTCGCTCGCCAGTTTAGCGAGCTTAGTGCGGGCAGTGTTGACTGGGGGGGCTGATTATAAACGTATATGCATGGTTAGGAGGATGCTTGAGTAGAGCGCTACGTCTGTATTTTTAATTTTTAACTCTTTATTTATACAGGTAGTCTCAATGAGCCACGAGAACTCATTTTCAAGAGAGACCTGTTTAGGGAGCAGATGGGGGTTAAGAGCCACGAGAACTCATTTTCAAGAGAGACCTGTTTAGGGAGCAGATGGGGGTTAAGGGCCTTGCTCATGGGCCCAGAGTGGGGCGAATGAGGGTGGGGGCAGGTGTGGGTGCTTCACCTACCCCACCCACATTTTTTATGTTGTCTGTACCGGGGCTTGAACCGGCAATCTTCCGATCACAGGCCCACCTTCTCTAACCTCTGCGCCACCACTCCCCAGTATCATCTTAGCTTAGCAGTAACTGTGACTCTGTAAGACGCTGCAGGTGTAAGAGACGCTGTGTGTTCAGGTGCATTAAAGTTGAAATGTCTTTAAAACCCCAACATCTTATTGTCCTCAAGCTTCATGAGAAACATCATTTAGATGAGTAGTGTTGAACACAAGTTAAAAAAAAAAAGTCCAGTAGTGATTTTTTTTATTTCTCTATGAACAAAAATAGTGCCGACCTGACTCTCTGTATTAAAGTTTATTAAAGTTAAAAAGTCTTTAAAACCCACAGCTGAATTTACACAAACTTGGTGAGAAACATGTTTTAAAGGAAGTCTAGGTGAAATGTTGCTTTTTTTGTACACTGGTGTACACGTTTTAACTCCGTCTTGTCGAAGCTCCAAAATTCACATTTGAAACTCGTGCCTTCGTGTAAAAAGTTGTTTTTCTCTGCAAAAAGAAGCTGAAAACTTGTTTACGGATTTTTATATTAAAAGCTTTGTGTGAAAAATGCTAAAGAGCTCAAACCACACCGAGCGTCCGCTATTTTGAGAACCAAAGAGAGACGGCCCATGTCACGTCAAGGGGCCTCCCTCCCATTTTTCTTAGAGACATTCTGCTTGCTCCCTCACTATCCATACTTCGGTTCAGTCTTATACTGCCATGTGGTGGTTGAAAAAAGGTACTACATGCAAAACAAATTAAACATTTCTTCTTAAATTTGACAATAATTACTAATTATTGTCAAATTTCAAACAGTATTATCGTTTATTGCAATAATTTCTGAGACAATCGTCCAGCAAAATTTGTTATTGTGACATGACAGGCCTAACGTAGATTGACCCTCTGATAACCGTTGCTTTGTTTGATTACTGTTCCAGATATGCTGACCAAAGAGCCCCCTTGGTGTGATGGGTCCAACTGCTTTGAATGTGCTGCAAAGTTTGGTGTTACAACTCGGAAGCATCACTGGTTAGTACACGTGACTTTTTCCATAAGAACTTGATGTATGTGTGATAAACATTAGCGGTCCATGTGTTTGTGCTGAACGCTCATGTGTGTTAATTGTTTACAGTAACCATGAATATTCACACAAATTACTTATTTTATCTTGAGGAGTGCACTCATATATTCTAATCAATACTATTCAGTTTTGGAGTTTATCCAAGTGTGTGTGGCCTGTAGGACACATTTAATTTCCAGTTAGATGGATTAGACAGAACAATAAGACTTCTTTCATGTTTATTCTAAAGTCAGCTGTTAACAAATCGACCTGCTACTTTAGAGGGGCTGACTGAGAGAGCATGTAGCTCACTGACCCTCTTTGCTTAGGCAATAGCCAACAAAAAAGCCACCTTACATGAAAGCCACTTGAGGTCCGCCAGCGTCAGAGGCTCGAACGGAGGGTGGCACAGAGCTTCGAGAACCAAGGGCAGATCCCAACCTGGTGCCCGTGGAGCCATCGGCGGGTGCAACCTACGGGGACCACGCAGAAGAAGGGAGACTAGATTATGGCTCCCCACCATACAGCCATCAATGCCTGCGTGATTAGATGATATTGCTGCTACATAAACTTTAAGCGTCGAAGGAGAGCGACCCTTACCAAGGAGAGATTGGAGAAACTCCAGAATGGTGGGTACTGTACAGGAGACTGGATCCTCATTGTGATCAGAACACCATTGGGAAAACAGACGCCACCTATTTTTGTACTGCTGATGAGTAGAGAGTGCCCTGGAGCCCAGGATGGTGCATCTGATGGGGCTCGAAACTCCAGTCAGCTGCTGTCTTGGACTTGCAGTGGCCACAGCCTCAACCGAAGACATTGAGGATTGGGGTGCTATATCAGTCCCCCAAACTGAGACAGCAAGTCCCTCCTGGTCAGAAGACACCATGGGATGCCCTGACATAGACTGCATAGCAGTGGGAACTATGGTAGTGCTGGCCAATACGGAGACACCAGCAGCATCCTGTGGCCCTCCTCGAGGACTCTCTGAAGGGTTGGCCAAATTAGAGAAAGGGGTGGGAAGGCATATAGGAGGACCTTTGGCCAAGGATGAGCCAATGCATCCTCGCCCAGCGCACCTGACACCCCCGTAAGGAAGTACCATAGGGGACACTGAGTCGACTCTTCTGTCGCAAAAAGGTCTACCTCTGCCTGATCAAAACGGTCCCAAATCATCAGCACTATGTCGCTGTGGAGGGACTACTCTCCCAGAGCAGACCCCTTGCGGGAGAGAAAATCTGCAACCTGATTGTGTCGCCCTGGTAAGTGCCACCCACAGGGTGGACAGGCGAGGACAGGCCCATTCCAGGAGCTCTCTGGACGCTCTCAGAAGTTGTCCTGACCTGGTGCCCCCTTGGTGGTTGATATGGTAGACAGCAGAGGTGTTGTTTGACCAAACAAGAACATGCCCTCCCTTCCAGGTGGGGCAGAAAATACCCGAGTGCCAAATGCACTGCATGCAGCTCCAGCACATTTATATGCGTAGAGCGGTCCTTTTGACCCAAGCGGCCTCTGTGTTGCCACACAGTGCCCCATCCCTTGGAGCTGGCATCTATCATGACCAGTTCTCTGCGACACACTACCACTCCCATGGGGACACCCCTGGACAAATAATCTTTGTCCCTCCATGGAGTCGGGGCATGAAGACATGACCATGTCACTGCAAGCTTGTGATGCCTGTGCAGCCTGGCATCCAAGCAAAAGCTGATGAGCCACCTCTGCATGGGGCGAAGTGACAACAGGCCTAAGGGCACCACCCGAGTGACTGACGTCAGGTTGCCGAGTAGCTGCAAGAAGGCAAGGTAGGGGAGCTGCCTGCCCAGCCTGAACCGACTGACCAGCTGGAGTATGCCGGCCACCCTTTGAGCGGATGGGCGAGCTCTCGTGGAGGGTGAATCCAGAACCACCCTAAGAAAGGTGATCATCTGGGAAGGGATCAGGCAACTCTTTTCCAGGTTGACATTGAGGCCCAACTGGGTCACATGAGCGAGCAGGCGGTTCGTGTCACAAAAGGCACAGGCCTGAGATGGGGCGCAGAGAAGCCATTCATCTAAGTATGGCAGAACCTTCACTCCGTAGGCCTGCAGAGGAGAGAGGGCTGCCTTCACGCACTGAGTGAACACCCTCGGGGAGAGAGGGAGCCCGAATGGGAGTACCCGGAACTGATATTGGTGACCCCGATGGGCAAACCTGAGAAAATGGCGATATTCTGCCACAATAGGCACATGAAAATATGCATCTTTCAGGTCTATAGACATGAACCATTCTCCCCTCGTGACAGCTTGAAGGACTTCTGCTGTCGTGAACATGTGAAAGTGCAGCTCCCTTAAGTACTAGTTGAGTCCTCTCAGATCTAAAATGGGATGAAACCCACCCATCCTTTTTTGCACAAGAAAGTAAGTCGAGTAATAAACTCTGGGTTGTTGTAGAGGGTCTACTGCCTCGATTGCACCCTTGGCCAGGAGAGCGGAAAGTTCATAGTCTAGTGCTTGTGCTTTCACCAAGTCTGCGATTACAGTCATCTTGACCCAGAGTGAGATGTGAGGCCGCTGTCGGAACTGTAGCCGGTAACCATGGGTCAGAGTGGCAACCACCCATTGGTCCACGGCGTGAGCAGCCCAGTAACTGAGCTGCTGGTGGGAAAAATATCCGACGGTCGGCCTGGTGGTATTACCGTCTCCCTCGACGGCCCCTAGGGGCCATGGAGGGGGGGGGGGGCAGTGGCAGTGGCCAGAGTCCCTTGTCTGAGCCTGCCCAGCTGGTTGATGGACCGACTCACGAAAGCTCTTGTTGGGTCTCTGCTGAATCGCACAAGGTTAAAAAACACCCGCCCGATTATGACCCTGAGGCAGCGGCCGAATGCTGGGGTCAGCCGACGGGCACCTTGGTTGCCAAGGAGGTGGAGGGGGCATCGCCCTGCTAAGGCTCGAAAGCTGCTGCCTTGTCTGTTGTGCCTGGACGGTCCTTTCTAGGGCTTCGAAGGCAGCCGAACCGAACAACTCCCCGGCACCACCGGGACATTACGGAGGGTTCTAAGACATGGCTCGGTCAATGTTGACTGCGCCAACCAAACCTGTCGGCGATCCTGGACCAAGAAGGCCATCATGCGCCCAAGTTTTCTCGTCATCAGTGCAAAGGCCTGAAGCGCTGCATCGCTAAAGCACATTGCTGCTGTCGCACCACTAGTCCCCTGAAGGGACATGGAGAGGGCAAGCATGAGGTACGCCATAGAATTGCCGAGGCGGCCAGCACGCGTTCCGGCGTAATAAGCTCTGCAGAGGAATTCATCAGTGATGCGACACTGAGCTTGTGGGCACCGAACATCACTGCGCAGAGCCTCCTCTGGTGACACAATGAGCAAGGCAACAGCAGGTTCGATCGTAGGCATGCGAGCCAAGCCCGCTACAGCTGGCTCATGCATAACCGCCAACATTCGGCAATCTGTGGAGAGGTGCGCAAAGGCTTTTGGGTCCCGCCAGCCACCATGCAACTCCCTGACTTGGCTCGCCTCTTCCTAGGAGGAGCCACAGAGACTGTGGCCTCAGACCGGCGCTTCGAGCGCCTAGGTGGAGCCTCCTGCCCAGAAGGCGGGAGGTCACTGCCGAGCTCAGGGCGAAATGGGGCCAGCCGAGCCACCTTCACAGCACGAGGCATAAAGCTACAGTTCATGCAGGGGTTCTCTGACAGGGCCTCCACCAGATGGTCATGTCCAAGACAGGCAGGACACAGGTCATGACCGTCATCTGCCTGAAGCACGGCCCCACAATCTGTGCAGCAGTGAGAGCCGTCCATGCTCATTACTTAAGGCAGTTTACTCAAGTAAAAAAACTGCAACTCAGCAAAGGGGCTGGTACCGCCAGATATGTCTAGGATACTGGGCGAAAACAAGGATGAAAGGATAGGCCGAGAATTGGTAGAGGGGACGCGTACGCTTGCCGTCACCAATTAACAAGGCAAAGAAACTCAGACAGGCTAATGTCGCTAGCTCGGCTGGTAAAAGAGGACAATTGGGAGAGGGGGCGTGAACGCTTGCCTTCACCAATTAAGAAAACAAGGCCAGAACGTAGGGAGGCTAGTACCACTAGCTCGGTCCAACCGTGTATGAGGTTAGTGAAAATGATTGGAAGAGGGTGCGCTAACGCTAGCTTTCACCAAAGAAAAACACGGCCAGAGCGTAGGGCGGCTAGTACCGCTAGCTCAGTCCAACTGTGTACGAGGTTGGTGAAAATGACTGGAGAGAGGGTGTGCAAATGCTAGCCTTCACCAAAGAAAACAAGGCCAGAAACTCAGCTGGCTACGTAATTAAATTTCGGAGCACAGTCGAACCGACCACGTGGTTGGAGGTCTCCAGCAAATGGGAGCGGAGTGAATGCTACCGCTAACCAATGGCGAAATATAAGTAAAAAACGCTACTCACCGATGTTGAATCACACACCTAGTAGTCATTAACAAACTTGGGAGCACAGTCCAACTGACCACGTGGTTAGAGGCCTCCAACAAACGGGAGCGGAGCGGAGCGGAGCGAACGCTACCACTAGCCAATGGCGAAATATAAGTGAAAAACACTACTTACCGGTGTTGAATCACACACATAGTAGTCAGACGCTGTAAGTTGGGAGTTGGGCGGAAACCGCCGTAGATCCCAACTAACATCAGAAATAACTTTGAACAAGGTTAAACTGTTGCAGCCCCTAGGAGGGTGAACACGCTACTCCCGCCAACGGGCAGTCGGGCCTCCGACGACAGTGAAAAGTTCAAAAATCCAAAGGGCTGAAGCCCTGAATTGAACCGTGCGCGAGAAGAAAAAAGGAGCAGAGCTGCGGATGGCGTCAGGCTATATAGTCTCTGACTGGTCATCCGTGTCACACCTGTGACTCCGTTGGTATGATTACTTGAACAGCGCATGCGCGAAGGGAAAATTCAGTGCTTTCAGCACCACCCTCTGGCGGTCAGGAGGGATGAAATAGAACTTAATACACCATACCACTTTATTTATAAAGCACTTAAAACAGCGACAAGGCCAACCAAAGTGCTGTACAGACAGAACAACAGGTAACACACAGAGCAAAATACAATACACATACATCATCACTAGACAAAGTGTACACTTTTCAGCACTCCAGCTCTAAGGTCAAGGTCAAGGTAGCAAATCAAGGTCAAATGTTATACAAGGTCTTTGCTTGTCTGGACCATGTTATAGATTGCTGTATAATAGTTGTGGACAGGCATATGCGTTACATCCATCCATCCATTATGTTTTACCCACTTCCTTTTTGGGTTGTGGGGGTCACTCGTGCCCATATCCAGCCATCACTGTGTGAGAGGCTGGGGACATCCTGGACAGGTCTCCAGTCCATCACAGGGACACACAGAGACAAACAAGACAAACAACCATTCACTCTCTCACTCACACCTAGAGACAATTTAGAGTTACCAATCAGCCTAACATGCATGTTTTTGGTCTGTGGGAGGAAACCAGAGTACCCGGAGAAAACCCACGCATGCACGGAGAGAACATGCAAACTCCACCCAGAAAGGCCCCTGGACTGGGATTTGAACCGGGGACCTGCTTGCTGAGAGGCAGCAGCTCTACCAATTACCCCACCGTGCTGCCCTATGTGTTATATGATTTTTTTACAATACAAAACCATGACCCTTGTAGTAAATCAGTTTGTGTAATGTTGTCAGTCTGTCTTAACTTTCCGATCGCCTTCTAATTCCCTTCTTTATCGTCTACAGCCGTCATTGTGGGCGCCTGCTGTGCCACAGGTGCTCTCTAAAGGAGATGCCCATCATCAAGTTCGATTTGAACAAACCTGTGAGAGTCTGTGAAATCTGCTTTGATGTACTAACTCTGGGCGGGGTGTCTTAATGCTACGATCAACATCTGTTTTACCCTGCTCTGCTCGGACCAGGCCCAACTTGGCACAACTACACAGGAACACCTGAAGAAGGGACGTGAGAAGCGGGAGTTACTCTAAGGATCATCATCTTTATACTATTCCAGTCTATGAAAAACTATTAATCTAGACATTTAAAGATAGAAAGTGGAACGTTGTCTTTTTGTTTGTTTCTATTGAGGAGTCTTATTGCCGATGTAAGCAACTCTCCAACTGGGTGGCGCTGGACGGGGTGTCTGTTTCTGAAGATCAGTGATGTTTGTGAAGATTAGCTCCTGTTATCATGAGCAGGGAGCTGTTATGAGATTTCAGTCCAACTCTAATCGCCTGTAAAAGGATTTTTTTGTGTGTTGAGTTCTTTCATTATCCACAGGATTCATCCAAAAAATGTAAACAAATTTAGCTGCAAACCGAATCATTTCATTTCTGTCCGTCCTGTAACTGCTGTCAACCAGGAACGTAGTAAAACTGGAAAATGTTCAGCTGTTTGACTCGGTTACGTACAATCTGTTGTTATTCCCACGTGGCTCACTCCTGTGTGGTTGTGGTTGGATATGATGAATTTAAAGGGAACTAACTGGTTTCTAGGAACAAAAACAGACTTATTTCAATAACTCTTAAGACATATCAACTTATCGTACAAGAGAAATATGGCACAGTTGGAACGAGATCAAATCAGTTTGACTTTCTTTGTAGTGAATGTGAAAACTTCCAATGAAATGTGACCCGAGAGCCCGGGTTATCAGAACAAATCCAACAATCCTCAGTTACAGAACGCCTCTTCTGCCTATGTATGTCCTTTTGTAACTTTGTTTTGGTTGTACGTCCTAAAACCTGTCGCCACATTCCATTTATTTGACCTCTCACGAGGTCCTCTTCGGTGGTTAGCCCCCTGAAACGTTGCCTCATGTCTTCATCGTGACCCCTCACATTAACGCGTGTTGATTTTTAAGCCTAACAGGTGCACTTTATGGAGATCACGTGACATTTCTGATGGGTGGTGAGAATATGGACTAAGCAGAGGGCAGAAGCTCTTGAAGTATTGTTAAATTGTACAGATACGTGTGATATTTTTGACCACTACGACCATTTTGTACTTAAATGCAGTTTGTGCTTGTCGTTGTGACAAACCTAAATCTTGCCTCTGTTGATCTTTTATGCACATTTAATCTTTTATGCACACTGTATTGTTTCTGTATGCTCAGATATCTAGGCTGTCTCTCCCTGATGCATTTTAGAAAGCAGGAGGACAACTTTACATAAAGCTCATGGAAAAACAAATGCGTTGTTTCTTGATTTTCACTCGTCTCAAACTGGTTCACTGAGTTGGCGTTAGGCCTGTCACAGTAAACAAATCCATTAATTGCATGATAAATGAAAATTATCGACATCATTTTCATTTATCGGCTTAATCAAAGCTCCAGGATTAACGGTTGAAACCCGTGCCTTCGTGTAAAAAGTTGTTTTTCTCTGCATAAAGAAGCTGAGAACTTGTTTACTGATTTTTTTTTTATTTTTATTAAAAGCTTTGTATGAAAACTGCTATGCTAAAGAGCTCAAACCACATTGGAACGTCCACCATTTTGAGAACCGGAGAAACGGGACACGCTGCTCGCTCCCTCGCTATCCATCTTTCAGTTCAAACAGTCTTATACTGACATCTGGTGGCTGAAAAAAGGTACTACATGCAAAACAAACATTCTTAAATTTGTCAATAATTACTAATTATTACTAATTAACTATTGTCAATAATTACTAATTATTGTCAAATTTCAAACAATATCGTTTATCACAATAATTTCTGAGACAATCGCCCAGCAAAATGTGTTACGACAGGCCTATTTGGCGTTCTTGTGGTTTTCATATTTTTTTAAAATAAAATTCAGCAATGGTTTGGTCCCATTTTGTTCTGGACTGGTTCAAAGGTTACTGTTCTCCCACAATGCACGAGTCCGCCTGTGCAGGGCAGCCGTCGTATTTCTGCAGGTTGGGGTCTTCCTCTGCTGTAGCCGAGTCTTTAACGCACACGCACTGAACGCTGCTGGAAGCTGCAGAGAAGAGCCTCCGTGGCACACCTGTCCAGTCTCTGGTCACGCCACCGCTGCAAGAAAGAGTTCAGCAGATCAGCTGAAGCTTCTCCAGAGTGTCGTGTGGTTGTGTCCATACCTCTTCGAGGAGCACCAGACTCTGCCCCCTCTGCCAGCGCTCCACTCCGAGTTGCAGGGTGGGAATCGGACCTTCTCGGCATCAGACTGGGCTTTCAGGCGCCGTCCTTCATCTAGTAATCTCTCCACGTTCAGCAAGGTGTCTGTGGGCTGCCCAGTTTCATTATAGAACCGACCGATTAACAGCCCTGAAATTCAATGCAAGGTTGTGATTTAAGGAAAAGAAGCGGTTTAAAAAAAAAACATTTGCATGGATGCTCAGTCATCCAGAACATGGCAAATCTGAAGATAAACGGGTCCAAATAATGTTTTTATTGTTTTATGTAAAGATGTTTTAGAGGAGCTTTCTCAGTTCAAACTAAATGTGGAGTTCTAAGCGTTGAAGCTGCTGGACAGAGAAGATGTTCGAAGGAGTGAAGGTGGCATGGTGCAACATTTACAAATCCCAGTTTAAACAGAAAAAATGTGACCATTTAAGAAGGACCATCACACAATGTTCGTAGCAGTAAGACAAATCAGTATTCCAGATTTTAATCTTCAACAAATCTCGTTTCCATTCCTGTAATGGCAGCAGTAATGTGAAGAACCACGCCGAGATATGAAGACACGTTTTTCTGGGAACATCCTCACAGTTGTGTTCAGACATTACAAAGACATGGCTGAAAGGATGTTTCAGGAAATTCAAACGACGCTGAAGTATTATAAACATGTTTATAAAATATGTGTTTAAACACCTGCATCATGAAGGACCACGCTCACCCAGCGCACACTTTTTGCCCCGCTCCCCTCAGGAAGGAGGTTGAGGAGCATTAAGTGTAGAACCACTAGACTGAGGAACAGCTTCTACCCTGAGGCTGTTAGACTCATGAATCTTTAACCAAAATAATTACTGGGAAAAATCACATGTTGCTGCTGATCTGTTTCATGTTGCTGCTGATCTGTTTCATGTTGCTGCTGATCGGTTTCATGTGTTCATTCATACTCTTCTGCTCACACAGACTCACGTTCGTGCTGCTGTTCGACGTAATGTTTTATGTTATGAGTGCTTAGTGTATATTTAGCTGATGTTTTTCTTAGTTCGTATCTTAGATCTTATTATTATTTTACATTTTATTGTTGGATGTAATTGGGACCCTGTGTACATAATCTTGTTCCACCACATGTACCACATGAGATGCGAATGACAAATCTCTCTGACTCTGATGCTGTGGTCTCAGTAAAAATGTATTAAATATATATATTTTTAAATGAATACTATATTACGAAGTAACGGAAGTTGAATTGTCCCCATTTATTTTGGAATGTTGGGATTTCACGACTTGGAAACAAACAAAACGTGAAGTTCATACAGAACATTTCCTAATTTCTGTGTGCGCAAATGAATAAAAGTCAAAGAATAATTTGGGTAGAGAAAATATTTTGATGAACAAATTAAAGACAATCTACGGTAATTGTAAATCTAGTGATTACTTTCTGCAACTCATTGTCATTAGAAGCTCTTTGTTTTAATCAAACTATGTTCAAGTTGTTAAGGAAAGCTTGGAGACGTGTGGTGCTGTCAAGTGGCTGAAAATGGTTTTGTTAATGAACTTACGTGCAAGCAGTGTTGCGTAAAGTACCTCGAAGTGATACATCAGTGAAAGTACAAGTATCTTACCATAAAATTACTTTGGTAAACATTAAAATCTCCTTTAAAAATTATTACTTGAGTAAAAGTCCTAAAGTATCTGACATTTAATGTACATAAGTATCAAAAGTAAATTTCTCATATAAATGTACTTAAATTAAGAGTATTAAGTAAAAGTGAATGGTTAGAATTTCCAAAACAACGTTTATTGGGTGCAATATCCAATGACAAAAAAATTGGAAAGTTTGAATTGAACAATGGATTAATCTTTAAAAAGTCTGATTCTTTTGAAGTATTCAAACTTTATTAACCTTTATTAACAAAGTTGTTAGAAAGCCCACATTGTGTAGTTGGCTCCTTTACTGAGCTAGGTTCTGGTTGGTTACGGCTTGTTTCTTTCCAAATTTAATAGCTCCTATGGTCTTGAACGCACCGTGGCTGTTATGACGCTAGTGAACGCACCGCTCTGTGTAAAGTGCAGAGCTCAGTTGTTTTTTTCTCTCCCAACATGGATGGAGCCTTGTTGTCCAAGCTTGTTTGCAATTTACTGCAGAAGAAACACGGCAAACAAATCCCCCTAAACTGGATATCTGTCTCTGTGTTCTTTAATGGGAAGACTAGTGGCCCGACAACTGGGTTTGTGAGTAGACGGGGCAGCGTGAAGGCACGGACTGGGAGAACAAACAGGCATTGCCCAATCAGATTTCTTCTAATTTCATATTGTAGGAACGAGTAACTTTAAGGGAAATGTATCGGAGTAAAAGTACACATTTTATTGAGGAAATGTAGTGGAGTAAAAGTGAAAGTCGCTAGAAATGTAAACAACGAAGAAAAGATATGACAAAATTCTACTTGAGTACAGTAACAAAGTATTTGTACAACACTGTTTGCAAGTGATTGGAGATTTATACCAACAACAAACAGCCTGTGTTGTACTGAAGGATTGCATTACAAATGGCGTGTCAAAATATACTGTAGGGTCAACGCAGAGCTATAATTACCCACCAACACTTATGTACTGTCTCTGATAGAAGGCCAGCCAGTCAAAAAGTGCAACCGCCTGCAGAGGGGACAGACTGGAGACATCGTCTGTGAGACCCTGATCCGAGAAGTCCCCAGTGATGAAAGCCAGAGATGCATCCCTGCCTGGAAACATCAACACATCCATTGTTCAGTAACATGATTACATCACTGCAGATCATGATGGAAGTGGAATCAATGGTTTTACATGATTCTGGCTGGTTATGTACTTCACGAGAAATGGATCACCTGCCATAAAGTGATAAGCACCAGTGGGGCCATAATGTTTGCGCCCCTTGCTCACGTCAAACACCCGTCCCAGTACGGCCAGGTAAAGGCCCCTGCTGCCCTGCTCTCCGTCGTACTGGGCCAGCTCACCTCTGCTCAGGAGGCGCGGCCCCGCTCCCGGTTCAAACCAGTCTCGAGGAACGAACAGCACCGCTAATAACGCGGATAAACACGCCGCCAACGCGTAGCTTAGCATGTTGTGCACAGCTCGAATGATACGTCACCTAGTGCCATTCATAAACATTTCTTTAAGCTGAATAAACAATGACGAAGCAGGTGCTTCCGGGAAGACGAACTTCAACAGTCGGTCGCGACCGAGCCGACTCAATGTACTGACTCGTTTGACGAACGACGAGTCAGCTTCTCTGAACGTTTCATTAGAACAACACGTAAGCTAGTGTCGTGCTAAAATGTTCCCTTGTGTAAACCAAAGGAAGTACATTTCAAGTGACTTATTTTTACTAAACAACTGGTGCAAGACAAAAGTGATAAAATGCCACTTGGTTTGTAGTTGTTTTGCAATTACCGGTATGTATTATGTAACTAAAATGTAACAACAAAGCAAATTTGTGTGACATTTTGACTTGTACTTAATCTGTATTAGTAGTCATAAAAATACTTTCTTGAAGTACGCTTTCCAAAAAGGAGGACGTTTTTATTGACGGGGTGAACGACACTGTCAGAGTCGAATGGTTTGGATCCCGGAAACCAGTTTGAATGCTCACCACCAGCCACTGCGCATGCGCAGTCAAACGTTTCGGCGCAGTCTGACGTACGGTGCGTGAATGCGGCAGTAGAGCAGCACGGCAGAAGAATTGTGGCTGTCGGTGGACGTTAGAGGTCTGTGTTCAGACCAGGACGGACACCAGCAGGGCCGCAGGGATCTTCAGGGGGAGCCCCAGGTGTGTGAAACAATCATGGGGAACTCGGAGAGCGGCTGTGGTGGCGGAAGCGGCGACGAGGACGACATAGAAACGGAGAGCCCCGGCTTCGCGGAAGACTACCCGGCCTCTGCGGCCGCTGGCGGCTGTGTCGTGGGCGGCGGAGGCACCGGCGGTTCTGGCAGAAGCGGAAGGGGATCGAATAACCTGCCCGCACCCACCGGTGGACCACCCGGACCCGGTGTCCTCTTGGAGCAAGTGAAACTAAGAGAAGCGGCAGCTCGTATTAGCCTCTCCGGGGCAGCCATTCGAGAGTCGGTGCTGTCCGGGAACGAGGGCGCCCTGATGCGGTGGCTGGAGGACCGGGTGAACCGAGGAGAGGGGACCGTCAACGTGGAGCAGTTCTGCGAGATGTTGGAGAGCAGAGACGCCTCCAGGGATGAGTGTGAAGAGGTACACACGCAGGGAGAAGCCCACCTGGCAACCCTGCTGTCATTCAGAAGTCATTTCAGCGTTTTCTGTGAAAGTGTACCTGTTAGCTGCGTCACACCCAGTTCTAATGACTGATCAGCAGATTACACGGCTGAGGGTTATAAATGAATGGAGCCGTGTTATCTGTAGAGTTGAGCAAGGCCAGTGAGCTGTCATAATGCAACCTGCTGTTCAGCTGTGGCCTCCTCGTTGCTTTGTTTCCTGGTGAAGGACAGGTGTGAACGATGGCTGCAGTTTGTGTAAATGTGGAGTCTTTCTGCACCTTTTTAAAAAGAGCATTTAGTGCACAGGAACTGTCTACCTTTCTCATGCTAAAAAGTTACACAGCTACAGTAACTCACGTGTTTATATTATGTAGTGGACAGGCGACATGACTAGACGGTACTGGGCAGATTGATTATTTCATGATCTAAGAGTCTGTCTGTGTACCCTGTCTCAGGCCTTTGGACAGTTTGATGCAGAGGGGGATGGCGTGGTGGACATAGAGAGCATGATGATTGCTCTTAAGAGCTCCAATGGAGCTAATCTTCAGGGAGAGCTGAGTCATGTGATAAGACAGCTGCAGGCCTGCTCTCTAACACCAGGTAGGATTGGAGATTTGTCTATCTGCACTTATCAGCCCAAGATTATATGGATATGTGCTCATGACTCGGCTGTAACCTTGTTTTATTTACTTGAATTGCTTTTTTTTTTCTCCTCCCCCCCCTCCCCCCCTACAGGTTTTGTTGACATATTCTCCAGAAGCAAAGACCGTTTAGGAGCACATGCCTCTAAGATTCTTAAATTCTTGCACAGAAATCGTATCCCCAGCAGTGCCATTCCTTTCCCCATTTTAGAGGGCTACAGCAGTATCTGCACCATGAGGTCCAGCGTGGTCCAGGACTTCTTGGAATTCCTTTTGCAGAAGGAGAATGGTGAGAACCTGAAACATAACGTTTTAACGTTTTTTGCCAAACGGATGTTTAGGAATGCGTCTTGTTTACTGATGCACAACTTGGCAACGCTCATCCGAGTCGGTCTCTTTCAGATTTAGATATCCACTACAGAGCAGAGCTGGACCGTGATCCGGATGTAGACCGGGTGAAGGTGGTTACCCAGTGCTACAGCACAATAGAGGCTTCCTCCAATGTTGCCGACGTCTACAAGATGACAAATGGGGAAACAGCATCTTTCTGGCAGTCGGACGGCAGCGCACGCTCACACTGGATAAGGTCATAAGGACCGCGCAGCTGACGAGCAAGTCCATGCCGTCCGTAAATCATTGAGCCACATTTTTTATTATGGTTTTCCATCTTTCTTCTTTTCTCAGACTAAAGATGAAGCCCGATGTTGTTTTGAGACGTCTGGCCGTCGCTGTGGCGGCCAATGACCACAGCTACATGCCTCAGCTGGTCTCGGTGTCTGTGGGGAAAAGCCGACGCTCGCTGCAAGAGATCAGAGACATTCGCATCCCCAGCAATGTCACGGGCTATGTAGTGCTGTTGGAGAACGCCAACATCACCCACCCATGTGAGTCGTTCCGCCATTCTCTATATATTGAATGGGTCCTTCCTTCCACTGGTGCACTTGGAGAAGTTTTCTTTGTCATCAGTCTGAAACAAACCATGGCGTTGATTCCCTGTAGAGATAAACCTTGAGTTCATTCAAGGTGTTTCAGTACATTTTTACATCTAACTAAAACCTGCAGAGCTTCAGTCCAACTTGTTAAAAACTGTTTTCCATATTTATCCATGTAAAAGTCTCATTGAGATTTAAAAATGAGCCCCTTTTTCCAATAAAGAACTGCTAGGCAGCAAATTGTACAACAAATACACAACAGAGCAGTTAAACTACGACAGGTGAACAAGTAAACGACTGAGCCAAACTCAGCAACAACAACATTACCATACCAATTTATCTCTAAAGCACTTAAAATACAACAAGCAGTCGTCCGAAGTGCTGTACAACATTAAAAACAAACAAAAAACAGTAAAACAATAAAAACATCTAAATATACATAAAGAAAAATAATCAGAACATCATAAGTAAAAGAGTACAACATTAAGACACAGATGCTGACTCACTCTAGGTTAAAGTCCAATGAAAAAAAGGTGTTTTAAAACGGGTTTTAAAAACAGAAGGTGACGGGGCCTGCCCGACCTCCAGCGGCAGCTCATTCCACAATTTAGGAGCCAGAGCTGAAAAGGCTCCGTCTCCTCTGGATTTATAAAAGGTTTTCAGGACTGCTAAAAGCATCTGGTCAGAGGATCTAAGAGCACGTGATGGTATGTAAGAGTGAAGCAGTTCAGACAAATAAGAGGGACTAAGACCGTTCAAAGACTTAAAAACAAACAGTAGAACTTTAAAATGAATTCGAAACTGGACAGGAAGCCAGTGAAGGGACATCAGAACTGGAGTGACCGCTGGCCTGGAGATGAGTGTAGACCTCAGAGTCCTGGCCTGACGGTGTTGATCTTCTGTGCTGGTCCATCCTTTTGGCCAGTGGCTGTTTAGTTTCCCTGATGTAAGACTGATCACCCTCCTGACACTGAACAGCATACACAACATTACTCTGTTTGTGCCGGGGGACTGGATCTTTGGGATGAACCAGTCTTTGCCGTAATGTATTTTGGGGTTTAAAAGCCACTGGGACGTTATGTTTAGAAAATAAACGTCTCAGTTTCTCTGATACCCCCTCAACATATGGAATGACCACTGGTCTGGGTTCCAAAAGGATGGCCCAGCACAGAAGATCAACATCATCAGGCCAGGACTCTGCGGTCTACACTCATCTCCAGGCCAGAGGTCACTCTTTCAGGGATGAAGATGTTCACATCCTGGACAGAGAGGAACGATGGTTTGAGAGAGGAGTAAAGGAGGCCATCTTTGTGAAAAGTACTCGTCCATCATTAAACAGGGGTGGAGGCCTACGTGTTCAACTGTCCCCCTCTTACAATGCTGTTATTGCTAGTATCACTCAACCCCCTGTGAATAGCAAGTGACCATCATAGCACTAACTATCAATTGTTAGGCTGATGGTCCTTCTTGAGCATGTGATCAGCTGGTTTTGGTTGTCAGCAGCAAACTGGTTGATCCACCCTGAGAAGGTGCTATTTAAGAGACTGAGCTGAATACAGCACCTCAGACTGAAGAAGTCTTCTGGGGAAAAAACAAACCCAAAAATTTAAATGTCATCTGGACAGTTTCTTCTTGGAAGATTCAAGAGATGGAAATATTTTACATTTCACATATCATCTTGAGGGCCAGATGAGATGTCAACGAGGGCCACATTTGGCCCCCGGGCCGTGAGTTTAACACATATACAGCATTTTCCAGACATGTCTAAAATCTTTTCTTTTTAAAACCTGATAAAAATCAGAATGACTGAAGGTTTTTTTGTTTTGTTTTGCCACCTTGAAGGAAACAAAACATCAGCATTTTGGAGTGGAACATTTTCTTTTGGTGTCAATTATTAATTCAGTTTATTTCTAAAGCACCAAGTCACAACAGAAGTCGTCTCAGGGCACTGAACAGAAATGTTCACATATAAAACTAATAACTTAACGTTATTTATCTGAGGAGCAGCTTTGAGTTCAACTCCATCACAGAACTCTCATCTTGAGCGAGCATGAAGGCGACAGTGGAAAGGAAAAACTCCCTGATGAGGAAGAACCAGGCTCAGGACAAGCGGCCATCTGCTTCGACGAGTTTATTACCCTTGTTCTCGTGTTTTTCGGTATATTTTCTTATTAGTTTGTGTTTACAATGTTTCTGAAGGTTGCGTCAGGCTTATAATGGGTTATTATTAGACGGGGTTTGATTTGTGTATGTCTTAGAAAATTAACTTCTATTTTATGGTCTGTCCTTGGTGTATTCCATCACTGAGCTAACCACGTTATCTCCTCAACAAATCCCAGATGTTCAAATAAACATTAAGCGCTGCCTGAGCGACGGCTGCGACACACGGATTCATGGTCTGAAGACGCTGGGCTATCAGATCACCAAGAGTAAAGAGGTGTCTGTTTCGGATGCGTCGGCCATCTGGTACCTGTCTCTGCTCACCTCTTTGGTCACCACGTCCATGGAGACGAACCCTGCTCTGGCTCAGAAGGTCCTTGAGAGCACGCAGTAAGACGTTGGGATTTTTCATATTGGAATGGGCAGCAAGTGCAGCTGTATTTGTTGTTGCCTTTATGGTTATGAAGTTGCCATTCAAGAAGTTTCAGGAGTTATCCCTCTGAGGTCAAACTTTATTTATTTATTGAGTTTGAGGTTTGTTTGTGCTGTTTTCCTCCTAGGAAAGCCTTACAGCATATGCCTCCGCTGTCTCTAACTCCATCATCCACCGAGTTCCCAAAGTTTTTCTCTGTGAGCATCCTGGAGGAGGTGGACGGATTTCTTCTCAGGATAGCAGAGTAAGCTGGCATCACTGTTATATTCTAACATCGGCACATAAATAGCGGACAGAGTGAACTGAAAGTAAAGACTGAGCGCTGTTAAAACACCATTTTCCAAGTCGTGTGGTTTTTCTGCACATTTTTCTTCCGATGACTGAAGTTGTGTTGCAATAACGATCATTAATTTTGAAAGGCAGTTCTGCCTAAATGTTAAATTAATTGGTTTTTATTACAATTGGGTAAAAATAGCATTTACATTAACAGTATAAATAAAAATAACTGAATAAGGAGTAGGCTGAAGCCAACGCTTATCGCTGCCAAATAAATAAAAAAAAAGCAGCATAATAATCATCAAGACAGAACTAAAATAGACTCTGTAAATATTTAAGACTTCAGAGCCTTCACATAAACCCAAATACTTATTTCTTAGTATTCCACTCATGTTAGGAACGATTAATGTTTACCAGTTGTAGGTAACATTTTGAACGACCTAATGTGGAGAAAAGGAGTTTACAACGGACGGCACGATGAGTTGACGGCTCGTCTGAAGATGAACAAGACCAAAGGGATTATCGTTTTATTTTAGCGGCTCCGATCTTCAAAACTTCTTAAGTATTCGTGAGATCTTTGTTTTATAGAGCTTTACATCGTCATCAAGTTCACATTACAGTTATTTGCATTAAAAAAGTCGATTATTTGCACGTATTCACAGCAGCTAGCTGTAGCGCCGCCTCAGCGTTATCAAATGTAAAAAACAATCGTGTAATATTAAATCAATTGCGTTGAAATCCAGTTTAGATGTTGGTTTGCTTGGACCATATTGATGAACATAAAACAGCTATGGTGATCTGAGCAGACCAGTTTGGAGAGCGTACTGCTGCCATCTTGAATCAAGCCCAATCTTTGAAACATGATAGCTGTGTTTGAAAAAAAGTTACTTTGTCAGTTCTGTCAGATGAAAACTTTATTTAAAATGGAGGTCGTTCAAAAACAATCTACTACAGGTAATGCGTTAACTGTTCGTCAACTTTTTACACAGCCTATCAAAATGTCTGAAATATAGTTTGAATACATATATACTGTTCACTGTTAAAAATGTGGCATAAAAATTAAAAGCCATGAGTTTTTTTTAAATTGTCCTTGAAAGATTATACAACTTTACGGTTGATGCTAGGGCTGAACGATTTTGGGAAATTTTTCTAATTGCGATATATATTTTTTACCTCAATATTGCAATTGCGATTTAATGTGCAATTATTTTTCAGCGTCTTCTTCTCATGTGTTTTTCAATTAACACAAGCAATAAATCAATCGGTTTCAGTTGCAAAAACAGTTTTCAGCTCCGCTGCAACTCTTTCTGCATTTTTCTGTGTAGCTCCAGTTTAGCAACTTGGCTAAAATGTGTGCAGGAGGGCGTTCTGTACCGCTTATCCACTGGTTTACCAAAGCTGTAAACCCAGACTTGGTCACTATATTAATGTGCATCATGTCTTTCGCTATGAACTCCGTTACTGCTCGAGTTATTTCCACATGCCTTTTCAAATTATGTTCATACGGAGTAACGCCTTGGAACAGTTCGGTCAGTGATCCCTGTCGGCTGCTACTTTACTTACTTGAAGTTGAAGCGCTGGTCGTTGGCGTTCTAGCCATGCAACTATCATAAATGGCTTTGTGGTGTTTTTTAAGTGTTGATAAAGATTTGTGGTGTTACCTCGAGAGGCAGCGACAGCAGCAAGGCACGTCCTGCACAACACGTCGTTGTGCAGCGTCTTTTTTCATAGCCAAAATAATTCCAAACAACTCTTTGGTACCAAACTTTCAGATGTGTCGGCTTCTGTCGAGCCTGACGCCATTGTGCAACTGGTTCAAACGCAGAGTTGACTTCTCCCACTCCCTGCTCTGCTTTGCTCCTCGCAAGTGACGTAACCAGATCACGTGATCAGTCAAATCGCAGCCTTTGCGATTGGAAAATCTCATTTTATCGTATTGCGGTATTATTGCAACTGCAATTAATTGTTCAGCCCTAGTTGGTACAAACAGTGCACACATTTTACTAAGCTGCTTTCAGTCTGCATGATAGCCTTAGCTTTATATTATGTTAGAAAAGTTAGCCTATCTTATAGAACGGATAAGTCCAGATTTGATGATGATTACTTTGCCCGCTCTTTCATGTAATATAATCAGTAGCTTTGTATCATTATGTTTGTTTTACTTTTGTTCAGCTGCTGTGTGAGTCCTGATGCAGAAATGACCCTCCTAGCCTTCGCCCTGGCCAGAGGCAGCGTGTCCAAAATTCTCCAGGCCCTATCCTGCATTAGTGATCATTTACAGACAAAGTATAGGGCCTCCTCCCTCATCGTCTCCATGGCTGCCGTTAGGCTGCGACTTCTCTATCGTAACGGTAGGTAGAGCCCTTCTCCTTCACTCATTCGCATTTGAAACTAAAGATCTGGGGCCTTGTAGAAAAAAGCTTGTATGGATTTCTTGCTGGAACAAATCTTAAATTGAGAGAACTGCACAAGCACAAACAAACCCTGGTGCATGAAATGGTGCCTACGCTTAAATACAAGCACATTTACTTTGTGCATCACGATCATGGAAATGAGCGCACATGCAGCAACACCAGACACGCCCCCATTTAAATATGCAAATAGATACAAATATGCCTTTCGTGTGTGATTCCCCATCCTGTACAATCACAAATCATGTCTACATCTGTCAGGTGGAAGCAGATCGTATCGAACTCGACAAGTAGTTATAGTTTATGTGCAAAATCAGACTCTAGTTTGTGATGTAGACGCCACTTACGTGGATTACACACAAAATACTGATGCAAATTTATGCAGGATTGTGTAAGGGGAAGAGGCTGAGGCTCATCAGAGGTTAGGAATGATGTGTTTATTGACTTCATTACTGTGAACACAGAGGGTTAGGATGAATTACCGGTAAATTAAGCTAGTTTAACCAACAAAAAAACAGGAAGTTCCTCACTTAAACTACTGACTAGTAATAATGTGAAGAAGACGAGAGTTTTTTTTTTACCCACAACAATGCACATAAGGGGGTTGATATTAGAACAAATAAGTTTACTCACAAAGAAGCCCCCATCAGCGTGTAGTTTGTTCCCAACCAGCTGTCCATTCGAATGATTGAACCAGGTGCTGACTCGGGTCACCTCGCCACGTTGTTGGGTATGTTGCATGTCGCACATAATTTGTACACTGATCAAACGAAGGTGCTTCCTCTTAACATAAATGTACTCGTCCTGTGATGATGCTTGTACAGCAATGTGTGTGCAGCTGATGGCACCTATTGCATTAGGAAAACTGGTTGTGCAAATTGGGCTTTAATGTTGACTTATGGATACAGCTGACTTGACTCTGCTCAGGGTCAACTGGTTCTGTGTCAATGGGTCTGTTAGCCCCCACTGAAAAGTTCCTGTTGCTAGGAACCACAATGTAAAGTCAGGGCTGTTTTGCTCTTTGCCATGTCCACTGGCCCCATCTCTGAGCACTAAAGGGGGAGTGGTGGCGCAGAGGTTAGAGAAGGTGGGCCTGTGATCGGAAGATCGCCGGTTCAAGCCCACATCAAAAATGTGGGTGGGGTAGGTGAAGCACCCACACCTGCCCCCACCCCCATTCGCCCCACCCTGGGCCCATGAGCAAGGCCCTTAACCCCCATCTGCTCCCTAAACAGGTCTCTCTTGAAACTGAGTTCTCGTGGCTCAACGAGACTACCTGTATAAATAAAGGGTAAATGAAAGCAGGTGGTGAGCCACTCATCATGGGCCAGAAAATCCATTGTTTGTAAATACTCACCTTCTGCATCATTTGCAGTAGCTTCTAATGTGCTTGAAGCAGGGGTTCATTTGATCCGGATCCTGCCGGAACAAGATCCGGAAACTCCCTTATTTTGGCAGGCTCTGTTCCGGCAACTGTTTGCTTGGATCCGGCAACTCAAATCTCCGCCCCTAAAAGTCCAAAGTCATCGTGCATTTTTATTTTGGTTTATTTATTAAAGATACAACGAGAGGAGACGTTGCTCTTAGCCCAGTGGACCCAGTCTGTGGAGTGGATGTTCCAGCCACAGCACGCGCGGCGCACCAGTCCGCTCGCACGCTCCTTACGAGGAGCAGGAGAGGAGCCTCTGGAGGAGGGGGTTGAGAACGGAGGGATAGATGGTCACATTTACACATGGAGGTGTTAAAGTGCCTGTGACATGCATATCCTACAAATACAAAGAGTGGATGAAAACATCTTAATATTTAGGAATTTTGGCACAATACACAGGATTTTACCCATTTTTTCCTCTCTTGCTCTCAATGAAGATGGACGCTCTCTTTCCCTCTCCTGCCTCCCCTCCTGCTTTTACTGTTCTTTGTTTTGTGAACCTTTTTCCGATCTGCGTTTTGCATACCTTCCAAATTGTAAACTATGGATTTGTTCAGCTGGTCTCTCAAAACAATTGATCAAATTTTCTCACAAGAAGACAGAATGAAGGGGAGCCCTCCTACCTTGGAAACATAATTGGATTTATGATGACTAGATTATGCTGTTTAGAGTTGGTGGAAATCTGGATTGTCGAAAAATTCGGAAATGTCAGCAACTGTTTAAGCTTTCTGGAATGTGTGTGCGGGGCTTGGCAACACTCAGACTGTGCGCGAACTATCTGTGACCGTGCAAACTATCTGAGCAGGCAGGACTGTGGAACTTTGTGGCTGTGTTTACGGACGGTTGGAAGGAATAGATCTTGAAGAAGTTGTAAACCTGACTTTAGCGTAGGTAATCACAATTCTGCTGTTTGGAGTCGCCATGAGATGTACCAACAAGACTGTAAAAGGCAGATGCAGAAATTAAAGAGCTTGGCCAGACCCAAAACAATGTAGTTGATATCTATATCTGGCTCTGGCCTTCAGTTTCTCCTTGTTATGGAAACAAGAAGCTCTGATCTTCGAGAGAACATCTGTGGACCCTTATCAGACCAGCTGAGAGACACTGTAGCATCTTTATCAGGGCTATGGAAACTATCTGGACGTGTTCATGGACAATCTCACCATTTTGTCGCCCCCACCTCCCTGCAAAATGCATTATGTCTATGTTGCTTGCTGAGGTAGATTTTTTGCTACTTTACACTGTGCCCTGTGTCAAGAACATGGTGTGAGTGATCTTCTTTAATACCTGGTCTCCTCATGTTTTCTTCTTCTTTTCTTGTCGAAGTGGTAAGGGGAGCGCTCATTGGGAGCTGCTGCCCCGGTACACTTCCGTTTATCCTTCAGACAGCTGTACGGAACAAAGTTTCGCTGTAATTAACTGTACAATGACAATAAAGTTGATTCTGATTCTGATTTTGTCAGATAACTGGCATATTTTCCTTTGACCTTGGCACAGCTAAACTGAAACAGGAAGTGACATCAAAGGGGAACTCCATGGTCTTTGTTTATTGAAACAGTATTTTTGAACCCTAACTCTTCTTCGCCTCTCTGATAGTGATGTAGTAATGCTCTGTTCACATGCAAGCATTCCCCTTTGTCATCACTTCCTGTTACTGCACACAAGAATATCTCAACAGCCATTCATCTCAGCGGTGTCATTTTTGTTTTTTGCACTCTATTTTTAATGTTATCTTTTCAATAATACATTCATCTTTATAATGAAAATTTGATGTCGCATGCACTTTAAAGGTATTTTCTGCGTAACTTTGCACGTTTAGTGCACCTCTAGTCTGTACAAACCTTTTTTCTGTAGTGTGTACAATAATTGCTTTCACGTCATACCCTCTTAGTTTCTCCACCTGATGAATAACTGTAGAAACCTGCGTACATCAGCTGTGAAGTTGCTATGGGGCTGTGCACATTTCCTCGGTCATTTCATCATTGGTACATTTGACATTTCGCTCCCTTTATATATGAAGCTCTCAAAGAGGGAAAGGTTTTATTGTACAATACAGAACATCATGAGTTAACCAGCCTTGTCTATAACTGCTCGGTCTGACTGACAGTTAATCTGCAGCTCTGAGGCCACATGCGGCTCTTTGGTCCTTAGTCTGTGGCTCCTTGAAGCTTTGACCAAACATACGTAATGCAAAATGTAAACTCATTGGTTTTTATACCCACAGTAAACAGTAATGGCAAGTTTTAGCAGTTTTTCTGCAAATGTTTAAAGGAAATTATTAAAACAAGGAGAAAATAATGTTGCTTAGCTTTAGCTATTTTATTTATCCAATTTCTGGCCTTACAGTTGGATCTTTCTCTCAAATCCACTAGAAATTATTTGGAATACTTTTAGGACAAGCTGCCTAGAAGAAATATGGTGAATAATTGATGAGTGGGTGGGTGGATGGATGGATTTTTTTTTGTCCTTGTCGCTCTTGGCAAAGGCGGACGCTTTTTCCTCCTTCTCCTGCTTTTGCTCTTTGCCCTGTGAACCTTTTGGAGCCTCTCGTTACATATCGTCCAAATTGAAATTGAAACTTATGGATCTGGTCAGCTGGTCTCTCAACGAAATTGATCAAATTTTCTCAACGAGAAGACGGGGTGAAGGAGAGCCCTTCTGCCCTGACGGGACACTTGCAGCTCGATACATGACGGATTCCTGGGGACAGTGGAAGATTATGTGTCTGTCCATATTGTTAGTTGAGGACGCTGAAGATGTGTACATAATTGGATTTATGATAACAGGATTTCTGCTTTTTGGAGTTGGTGGTTACCTGGCATATCGACAAATTCGGAAAACATTGGCAGTTGTCCTGGCCATTGTTAAGCTGCCCGGCCTGTGTGAAGAAATGTGCCATGCTGTCAACACTCAGATTCAAATGCTGTGTGAGCTGAGCCGTAAGCTGAATGTGATTCTTGCTGAGAATTGCAGGCTACTTGCATCTCCTGAATCTAGCTGGCGTGAAGGAATAGATCTGGGAGACGTTGTAAGCTCGACTCAGCATATGTGACCACAAATTTGGCTGTTTGGAGTTGCCATTGGAGTTGCCATTATCCTGCTGGAAGCCAGGAACATGGCCATCAGGTCTGGAAACTCACAGGAGCTGATAAGGACAAGGGAAGAGCTGGTTGCTGGTATTAAGAGGGCCATGGCTACATATGCACAGAGGATCCAGGGTCAATTCACCTCACAAGACCCACAGAGCATGTGGAGGGGCAGTAAGTGTATAACAGATTATAAAGGCAGAAGTGAGCGATGCCTTAGAGACCCGTCACTACCTGGTGCCCTCAACAAGTTCTATGCACGCTTTGAAGAACCCATCAGACCACCCAGCACCAGACTCACCTCACCACCGGAAGAGGAGTTTCTCAGCGTGACCTTAGCTGAAGTAAGGAGTACTTTCAGGAGGATTAATCATCACAAAGCAGCTGGCCCAGACCACATCCCTGGGAAGGTGCTAAAAGACTGTGGGGGTGATATTTGGACATTGTTCATGGACTACTTCCCTCAAATTCACCGCCTTCGCTGCCCCCCTCCCCCCATGCAATAACCTAGGTAGATATGAAAGTTCCGGTGGCTGTGTCGCTCACTTCGGTGGCCTGTGCTGTGATCCCCAACCTCACCCACTCCACATTCATATGTCTTTGTCACCGGTATGTTGCTTTTTCTTGTGCTGAGGTTTTTTTACAACCTCACACTGTGTCCCATTAAGGACACGGTGTGAGATATAAATTTTTTTTATACCTCCTCTTTCCTCCTGTCTTTCCTTTTCCTTATCTAAATGAAAAGGGCAGCGCTTCCCACAAGGCTGCAGCCTCAGGCATCCCCGTCTACCCATGTTTGTTTTCTTTGAACGGCTGTACTGAAATGTAATTTTGTTGTGCTTCTGTGCAGTGACCGTACAGGTTGATTCTGATGGATGGATGGATGGATGGATTGATCTAATTAAAGTTAACGTAAATTAAAATTTAGTTTTTAAATTAAAATTTTAATAAGTCACATTTACATATCCAACAAAATAGCTTAATATTTAGACATTCTTTAAATGTATGCTTTATTACTTTAAAGTGGGATACATATTTATTTTTATTTTTATAAAATTAAAAGCAAGACTCGTAAACCTGCAAAGTTCAAGGTTTAAAAAATCTGGTGTAAAATTTGTATGAAATATGTTTTTTTTTTTTTCACCTTGATTACATGAATGTGGTCTTTTCTTAAGCCCTAAAATGTAAATTTATTAATCAGTGTTGAAATTCATTATTTAATTTTAGTTTTATAAACTCAGCTCCACTGGCTGGAAACAAAACCTCTTCATTTGAAGTGGCCCATGAGCCACCAGTTGATAATCACCATTGTAGCAGATTTTGCGGCTCTAGACAGATTTGTTTATTAAGTGAAGGGTAGAAATGGCTGTTTTGATGTAAAAGGTTTCAGACCTCTGTTATCAGATAAGTGAGAGCTCCAACTCATTACAGGAAAACCCCTTCAGCTTCACCTGCAGGCCTGTGATGTAAAGAGTAAAGAGGAGAAATCAGGACCGGAGAACATGCTCACAGAGTCTTCCACTGGAGACGGTACGACTCAGATTCACCACAGCCGACCTGTGAGTGTCTGCACAGCAAGGCATGCTGGTACATCTTACCTTATGTTTGTATTTTTCCAGGTTTCCTTACAGAAAGCGGGAGGAAGAAAGCCAGTGTCATCCTGTCGACAGAAGATCAGAGCAATTTCCAGATCACTCAGATGAAGATCAAAGTGAGACGCCACAAATCGGATCCAAATTTATCTGATTTATTCGATAACTCTGGTATTTGTTAATGAGACTTTTTTTTTGCTTTATGTGACAAGGTGCGAAAAGGAGCCATTGGAGTAAAATGTGGCTTGGTGTTTGCTTACATGGAGGAAGAAGCTTTTGATGCAGAAAAACATTTCAAAAGGTTCAAAAAGTACGACGCCTGGACCTACAAGGACTACAAAGAGTTTGTACAAGACAGGTAAGGATTCTTTTATAGTTTATTTC